CGGGCTAAAAACGTTAGGGGGGTAAGTTGGGAGGGGGATGGGGTGGAGCATGTTTAGGGGAGGGAGGAGGAGAAGATGAGGGGGGAGGGGGGGTAACAAGGAATGAGGGCTGGCTAAAAAGGAGGGAGGGTGTGGTTAACTTGGAGGATGACACTTGCCGAAATGTGGGGGGAAAAGAACACGGAAAAACAAAACGAAACAAAAACCGAACTTCAAAAACCCTGACAATTTGATTAAGTTTGATCGCTTTAGTTTACGTAGACCGTTCTAAACGAACAAGCCGGTTTCAACTGTCTCCGCCGAAACATGAGGGGGGAAGTTTCCAAAAGAATAGCAGCGACTGGTGAGCGTTGTTAGAAAGGAGAAAACTGAATTAGAAAGTTCAACTTGACTCGCAATACGACAGGAGAAGGGAGGTGTGGCCTGGAGCTGGGGGCAGTAATGAAGGAAGAAGCGATGCAGACGCGGGGAAGGAAGGAAGGAGGGAAGGAAGGAAGGAAGGAAGGAGGGACTCGGGGCTGGGAGATAGGAAAAAGAATGATTGTCTGCTCTTGTTTTATCCAAAATTCGATACTCCTTCGACTTCTGGCTCGTTATTTAAAAGATTAAAAGCCGAGGGGGAAAGGAGCAGTTGAAGACCGGCTCTTTGTTGACGTAAGGGTGTGAATACCTCCTTGTTACCACCAGTCTGAACTAAAAGAGTGACTGGAGGGTGTTCCTGTGACCTCTCCAAATGTTTGTGTTTTTCATTAATTCTCTGTTGTTACTTGCCTCTCAGCTCCCTCGTTTTATCCTAGCTCACTACGCCAGGGTGCTTTAAGAAAAGAAAAATAATGTCTTTGACGTGCAGCCACCTCACTGCCTTGTTGATAGAAGAACATGTCACTCAAAGATTGATCGAGAACAAGGAAGAAGAAGAAAACGAAGAAGACGAAGAACTCAAAGGTTGCGAAGAAAAAGTGAGAGCTAAATACGTTTTGAGTTACTAAGACCATGGGGTCATAAACCAATCAATGATCTGCTTTATCAAAATCGTGAGTTATTCGGAGTCGTTATCAAGATACTCACAGAATTGCAATCGGAAAAGCTTGACATGTTGTGCAACTCAACATTTCGAACGTCAAATTTCTCAAAACGAAGTACTCGTATTGAGAAGACATCACTTGGAAATTCTAGGGTAGCGAATTAGACTAATGCCGCACGTCTAAAACCATCATAATAATATTATACACGTCGGAAACTCGAATTTGCACTTTTCATGGAATTCATTTTGTTGCGCTTTTTTTAAGTTTTAGAAAAAGAAAACAGACGTAAAAATGTGTATGAATAATAAATTTACACTTCGTTTGCAATTTTTAAAACAGCGCTTTTTCAAGTTTTGACCAGTGAGGTCTATAGCACTTTTGTACCTTTTGGGTGTTAAAGGTCATCATCGGTTGATGAGATATGAACTGTTGTTATCCTTATCCTTATCATATTATCGTCATTATTAAAATTATTATCATTATTGCTACTATGTTGTAATTATCCCAACTATGTTGGGCCCATGATAAGAGATATGTGCACAACCTGTACTTTTTCATTATGGAAACTTTATTTTACAAAATAAGATGAGTCTTTTAAAAATATTATGTGACTAGATGGGTACCCCGTTGGATGAAGGGATTCAAAAGAAACGATCGTCAAGTCATTGTGGGTACAGTGCGCACTGCAAGTGAACGGAAGCCTCGCTTGCTTACAATGGCGTGTTAGAAGATTGATTTGTTTATTTCCGGCGGAAGAACAATTTTTATATCATGGAAAACGAATAATGTCTTGAAAACTGTATTGTGAAATGACGAACGGGAAAATTGTAAACAGCCGATAGTATTACAATTTTCTATTTTCCTAAATTTTTAGAATATTGCAAGCACTTACTGAATTGATAGAAACTTAGCTTGGTCTTTGGACTACCTTCAGTAAATGTTTTTGGGTTCTACGTTCCGTAGTTTTTTTCAACTATTGAAAACAACCAAAAAATGTATATATA